AATAAAAATATCACCTCTATAACCCAGCTAACCCAACATCACCCTATATTTGAAACAGATATACAGCCAGTCAGAATTATTGAAAACACTTACAGGGTCGCTTTTTGACATTGAAAACATACACCTAAAATTGCATTTTACCTGAAGTGAGCTAAATACATCAAAGGACAATAAGGATAGAAAAGCCGTTTGGAAGCCTCAACTACAAGCATCATTTGGTTTTATTTTCAACTGATGGAATAGTTGTAAAAGCAGCCTGACAATTTCATTTGTGAGGTCTTTGTTCTTAAAAACCTCACAAATGAAATTGTGAAAGGTAAAAGTGTAAAGTGTGTATTAATCTGGCTACACAGAAAATTAAAGAGTAAAATTTACTCCTACAAAGTTTAGCTAGTGTGAGATAACTAAAAGAGCAGTTCTAGCACAAACTCTGGCAGGACCTCGAATTAACTGTTCAAGCAAAGCAAATTTTCTACTTGTTTCACTAGAGAGCCTCAATGATGAGCAGAGTTAATTTTGTAATTTCTAATGCAGTTACAAATTCCTTCTTTTTTAAAAAATATTATGATATAATCTTAAAACACAAGTGCAGCACCAGTAATTACATGTGTACCTTCAGATCTGTACCAGGTATTACTTCATTTCTAAGGCTTTAACTAATGTGCATTCACAATCAGTTCAATTATTAAAATTAAATGCTTCAGCTATCTCATCTGAGTTCAGTTTTATTAACTTGGAGGTCTTCTTACTTCAGCTTTCTTTTTCTTTGCTTAAAGTCATGATGCTGGCCAGTGACAATTTAATCACATGATAAAAACTTGATTTGAATAAAGACAATGACTATGGTCCTGCTTAAGTGACAATCTTTCATAAAAAATTGGTACTGTAGAGTTTTAGAAAAAACAGAGTTCTGCTTTCAATACTTCTCCACAGAAAGCATGATCTCTCTGTTATTCTCTGTGTTCATTCAACCTAGAAGGGCTAGATGTTTTTTGCAAGCCTTAGTTATTTAATATCCCGTTATTTTGGCAAGAATATTTTCCCAATGATGCAAACAGAATACTACACAATATTTATCATTGCTATTCATATTAACAACAGATTACATGGACCTGATTAGAGTTATTTCCATTCTGCTCTGCTCTAAGAAAAAAAAAGGCTGTGCAATAAGCCTAATAATAATACGGATTGATTTTACCCCCAAAAGCAGCAAAGCATTTTGCAAAACTAAATCAGAACAGCACTCCATTACCCATGGAGATATCATGTCCTTAAGGTATTTTAGAAGTCCACAATGAGCTAAGGCAGAAAATACTTCACATAAAAACATGAACTTAGTACTCAGTTGTTTTGCCTAGAATATTACTAATTAGCATTCTCCATAGGGTTTCAACATGGTTATGTTCCTAGCCTTTATCAATTCACTTCAGTCACATAGTTGATAAATTGGACCATCAGCTGTAAGAGTGAAACTTCCAGGTTCTTACCAATGGTATAGAGTATGGTGAAACAACACAGGACAACTACAAAAGGAACTACAGATTTGATCTACTAAATACTGCAATACTTTAAATCATCAGAATGGTTATGTGGACAGAATTCCTTTCAGTAAGTGTGCTGAATTAATAAGCCTCCAACATGTTACTTTTTCAGTTTTGAAGGGAATGTTTAATCTAGCATTGCACTGTACCAACATTATGTTTAACTGAAGTTGTTTTTTTAATTCAATACAATATGCTCTACGCAAACGACACATTTTCTGTAAGTCAAAAACTGCAAAGCAAACAGATGGAGACATAGACTAAGAAAACAATTAGAATATCAGAATACAAAAGCTGCTCTTTAAATCCTAGACATGTAGAGCCAGACCCCTATACTACCATCACACTGTAAAGCTCCTACATTCTTCCTTTACTTTCCTCTGCCTTTCACATTACACAGAACCATGCTGTTAGGAAACCTGAATTCTAGTCCTACCTGTACAACAGGTAATGACAGACACAGATTTTGGTGCGCACTTTAAACTTCATTTAAATTACTCCTTCATGTACAGAAGAAGGATGAGGCCTCTTATGTTCTAAAGAAGATCTCTTGCAGTTGGAAAAGAAATCCTAGTGCTAAACTTGGTATGTCTGTGCACTGCCTTCTGGAGAGCTCACTAAATTAACACTTAGGAAAAGATGAATGGGCACTTAAACAGAAGCAAAACGGCCTTGTGTTTTAAAAGAGTATGGTGCTAAGTACTCACAGCCCTCAAAGAATATCTCCCTGGTACATGAGTGTTCTTCCTCCCTACTTTTATGTGCTTCCTATGGCAGAGAAGAGCACCATCAAATACTATACTGAGGAAAGTATGTCTTCATAATAGCTGAAATGTGATTCCCCATGAAGAAAATCGAAGAGAGAGAAAGCAAGTTCTACAACTCAAAACAGACAGTATTACATACTGCTAACATTGCTAAAAATTCCCCTCCCTTCTTCTACAGTAATTGAAATTGGTAAATTGAAAAAGGTTTAGCTGCCAGTTTATGAAATTCTCCCTCCAGAGTACTGGAGGGGACAGTAGATAATCAAGATATCCTTAGATATAAACCACAACTAGTATAATGCTATCCTTTCCACTTACAGAAAATTATTTTTTCTTCAAAGTACTTTTAATTGATCTATAACAAAGTCAAAATTATTTTTATAGAGGTACCCAAGGATTGTGTATTTTTGATACTATGTACTGAGAGGTGGGATCTAGGGACATTCTAGATCTTAAAATTGTTTTAAAATACATAATGAAAATTCAGGTCCTGTTTTTCAGATACCAAAGGACTATAATCTACATTGAGATAAACTCAGAAATCAAATACATATTAGCTTATATAATCAATGAGGGCAGAGGGAGCCAACAATACTCCTTTCAAATTCGTGGCTAACGTATATGCAGTTTAAAACCTCAACCCTACAAACATTTACATATGAAATAGTTAATCATAGCCACTAGTCAATGTTATGCACACACCTAAACCTCTGTAGACTCAGGGCTTAAAAATTTAACACAATACCTTTGCTCAGAGAAGAAAAACTAGTTTTATTGAAGCACTGTTATTCCTGAAGTTGTGTGTCACTCAAAACACCAAAGACTCTTCACTGAATTTGAAATTATTTATGGACCTGGTAAGTATATTTCTATTGCTTTAGACATCAAGGGCTTGCTACCATGTACCCTACCAGAAGTAACACATACTGAACATTGATTTTTATATTAAAAACAGTTAATGTAACACACACACACTTGGCTATTCACGTCCCACTACACAATTACCCCTTGCTTTCAGGAGAAAGGAAAAAAAAATAAAAATCACTGCATTCTAAGTGAATGGAAGAAAAAAAACCCCTCTGAAATAGAAGAGACAAGGAAAATCAAGTATTTCAGTACGAGACAGGTCACAGGAACTTGTTACAGCATTGTTGCAGATCACAACCTGAACTATCACAAAACAATGGGCAGTAGGAGAGCTGCAGGCACGCAGCCAGTTCAAGAGCACACAGGGTGGAGTAAGGAGCCTCTGTCTTTTCTCTTGACAATTCTCCTAAAACTATCTTCAAAGCATGATTTTTTTTGCGCCCCTCCGGCAGGGGAGATCCTCCAGCAAGGGACCAAATATTCCTATGAATAACACTGACAAGTGTCAAAATTAAAGAGATGTCTAGTTAAAAATCTCAAAATCTCTAATTTATTTAAGATTCTTTAAGATAAAATGACTAATATAACATTTTATGTGCTACACGAGAATCATGCATCCCCCTCTCCATC